GCCTCCCCGTGAATTTTGCATTTTTTTTTTTTAAGAGACAGAGTCTCACTTTGTCACCCTTGGTAGAGTGATGTGGCATCACAGCTCACAGCAACCTCCAGCTCTTGGGCTTAGGTGATTCTCTTGCCTCAGTCTCCCAAGTAGCTGGGACTACAGGCACCTGCCACAACACCTGGCTAGAATTTTGCATTTCTTAATGAGATTATGTCTCTTGGTCTTAACCCCCAGTGTAGAGTCTAATGAACTATATTGTCATCATTGGTTATCTGTTCCCAACTACAGTGTCCCATGGATAGAGATACTGGGTTTTATTGCCCTCTATATCATTATCATGCATATAGGAGTATAACAGATAACAGCAGAATAATAGTGAACACTTATGCCGTGTTCACTATGAGCCAGGCATTACTTTAGAGCAGGGGTCCTCAAACTTTTTAAATAGGGGGCTAGTTCATTGTCCCTCAGACCATTGGAGGGCCAGACTGCGGGTCCTGGGACAAACCGGTTGCTAAGCAGGACAGGCAGTGGTGGCAAAAACACCTGGCGGGCCACATGTGCTTGAGGACGCCTGCTTTACAGGCTTTATATATGTTGACTTATTTAATCCTTACCACACCCCTGTGAGGAACACACTATTATCCCATTTTATAGATATAGAAACTGAGGCAGCAAGATTGTCACACAGCTGGCAAGATTGTCACACAGTGGCTCAACCAGCATTTCAACCCAATACCATTGGCTCCAGTTTGCACTTGCATGCTCTGCTGCCTTTGGCCATCTACAAAATGAACTACTGCTATGTTTTCCTGTTTTTCATTTTCCCTTGGACATCTCTCCTCCCCACCAGTGTGTAAACTGCTGAGCACAGAGCTGCAGGAGGAACTGAGTCGCACTGGCCGATCTCGGGAGGTGCTGGAGCTGGGTCAGGTGCTAGACACAGGCAAGAGGAAGAGACATGTGCCTTACAGTGTTTCGTGAGTCCTTCTTGGTGCTCCTCCACCTTCCAATTCCAAAGGAACCTTGGGAATTTCTACAACATGCAGGGAATCTTTGGGTCTCCTCTTCCCACAGAGAGACAAGACTGGAAGAGGCCTTGGAGAATTTATGCGAGCAGATCCTGGATTACAGTGTTCATGCCGAGCGCAAGGGCTCACTGAGATATGCCAAGGTCAGAACCTTCCCCAGCTCAGAAACGAAGACCTATATCTATATCCTTTTAGGTCCTCAAGAGATATCTGCTTATTTCTCTCCAGCTCTGGAATGAACCTTCTTATTGTCAGGCTCCCTCATCTTACCTGCATGGAATTCACCCTTGAGTTTCCAGTAATTAATCCAGCTGATATGGCAGAAAGGAGAAAGAGGATGATGTGGGGTGGTGGAATGGCTGATTTCAAATTCTTCATCTCTTAGGGTCAGAGTCAGACCATGGCAACATTGAAAGGCCTAGTACAGAAGGGGGTGAAGGTGGATCTGGGGATCCCTTTGGAGCTATGGGATGAGCCCAGCGTGGAGGTCACGTTCCTCAAGAAGCAGGTAGGATAAGATACCATGCTGTCTGGGGAGGAGACAAGGGAACTTGAGAGGGGAGCTACGTCTTAGGTTTTGGCTTTAGGGGACATCCACCTGTGAGCAGGTACAAGGGGGGAAGAGTAAGAACTGTGCCATTGATTAAAGCGGCATATTAAGAAGTATTAACAGAGGCTAATAATATTCACCACCATTTATTGAGCACCTACTATGTACCAAATTCTGAACCACATACTTTCCAGCTTGATGTAGTAGGTCCTGTTAACATTTCCTACTTTACAGGTGAGGAGTTGAGATTCAGAATTTAATAACCTTGGCAGAGTAGGTGCTACTGTTTGTTGAGTGAATGAGTATCACACATATTGTAATCCAAGCTTAACCTCCTGCCTCTCCAAAGTTAGTCAAGTGGAGTCACGGAAACAGGGAGTGGAGAGCAGAGAGGAGGGCTTCCAAAGCCCAGCAGAACAGATACTCTTCTGCCCCTTCCACTTGACTAGTGTGAGACAATGCTGGAGGAGTTTGAAGATGTTGTGGGAGACTGGTACTTCCACCATCAGGAGCAGCCCCTACAGCGTTTTCTCTGTGAAGGTCATGTGCTCCCAGCTGCTGAAACTGGTAAGTGTACAGATTAGGCTCTTCTCCTGCCCAGGCACAGCCTCCCCCACCTCCAGGACCAATATTTAAATTGTTTTCTTTTACCCAAATTAGCATGTCTACAGGAAACTTGGACTGGAAAGGAGACCACAGATGGGCAAGAGAAGACTGAAGAGGAAGAAGAGGAGGAAGAGGAAGGAGAAGAGGAGGATGAGGAGAAAGTAAAGTTGACTAAGAAATCAGGCCTCACCAAGCATGACCCAGAGGACCTTTGAACCCTGATTTTGAGCCCCCAGGAGTGGCAGGAATCATGGAGAAGATCCCTCTGAAGTCTGAGTTCTCCCTGCCCCCCACTCCTGGCTTTCAGGGTGTTCGTGTGTGTGACCCCACCTCAAAGCTTGTAGCTGTTCTCTCCCATCTGATGTCAGGCAGGATCCTGGTGAGGCAGCATCACATGGCTGTGGGTAGAAAGTGAGAGCTGCAGGTGAAGTACTGCCTATTAGGTAGGTGTTCTGCCATCCAACTCCATAACTGACAAGTGCATATGGTGACAGTACTGAAGTCTTTCCCCTTTGAGTGTCTCTACTGCTCCCCACCCCCACCCAGAGGTCAAAGAAAGCATTGGAGCTGTGTGTTTTCCCAGGAAAGAAAAGACAACTTGGGTGGCGCCTGTGGCTCAAAGAAGTAGGGTGCTGGCTCCATATACTGGAGGTGGCGGGTTCAAACCCGGCCCTGGCCAAAAACTGCAAAAAGGAAAGAAAGAAAGAAAAGTCACAACTTGAGACACAGTCTCACTCTGTTGCCCTAGGCTAGAGTGCCATGGGGTCATATATCACAGCAACTTCACACTCCTGGGTTTAGATGATCCTCCTGCCTCAGCCTTCAGAGTAGCTGGGACTACAGGCATGCCCCAACCCCCCTCCCCAACTTTTCTATTTTTAGTAGAGACCGGTCTGAAACTCCTGGGCTCAAGGGATCCAGCCACCTTGGGACTCCCAGAATGATAGGATTCTAGGGGTTAGAATCCGCCCAGCCTAACATGTGGCTTTTCTTGGGAAAGCCACTTTGCCTCTCAGGGTCTGTCTTTAGACCTTTACAAGGAAGTCCTCTAGGACCTGCCAGCGTCCATTGACTACGTGCCAGCAAACCATGAATGAAAATAAGATAACTGGGGCGGCGCCTGTGCCTCAAAGAAGTAGGGCGCTGACCCCATATGCTGGAGGTGGCGGGTTCAAACCCAGCCCCAGCCAAAAAAAAAGATAACTGAACGGAGGGAAGGTGATGCTGGCAATTTTTAGGTGGCATAGACTATAGGTCTACTTCAAATTAATTTCACGGACAGCCCAACGTATAATTTGGCAGGTGCTATATTTTCTATATCGCTATTAAACTTTTTTCCTTTAAATACCAGCTGGGCACAAATTTTCAAACAGCAACCTTGCGCACATTGTAGCTAATCAATGAGGCTGCATCCGGAAAGTAGGGAGGGCTATTGGCCACCGTCCTGTTAAAAATAATGGTACTTTGTAATTTTGCAGCCCAAGGCGGTAGAAGTCGCCAGACCATGAACCATGTCGAAGGGGGCAGGTTGAGTAAGGTGGCAGAATTAAAGCAGTGCGTGTACCGCTGCTTTAGCCGCCGTATCTCCGTGTACGGCAGCTCGCAGAGGACAAAATCCATCGCGCTTTTACGACATCTGTGATTGTAAAATCTAAGAGGCGGTACAACTAGATCCCGTTGAGAAAGCGCCTAGGATGAGTGAAGGCAGTAAGGTTGTACTTTGAAGGGTGACGAGGTTAGACTTATCCGAGGTGAGTGGAGCGGTCTGCCGAAGGCTCCCGAGGGAGGAGGGCGTTCACAGGGGAAATCAGGCTGGGCCATACCATCTTTGGCAGGGGGTTGAAGATGATACCTTAACGGGAGAGGGTGGCAAGCGACTGAGACTTGAAAGGTGCCGGTTGGAATAGTGTGCGGAAACGCGGAGCGTCCGGACGGTCGCCTGCAGCCCCATTTCCTTTCTCCCCAGTTCATTCCTCCCTGCCATGAGCAGCCTAGTGCGGACCGTGTCGCTGTGCGAGGGGCCTCCCGTGCTGGTGCCTGGTGACTCCTACTCGGTTGTGGTTCTGTTGCAGGGCTACGCGGAGCCCAAGGGCTTGGACGGTGCTGTGAGGGCCGACGGCTCAGTGACCCTTGTTTTGCCCCAAGCCTGGGACCCAGCGTGTAGCCAGCGAGAGCCCCAGCGCGGGGGCGGCGGCGCAAAGATTGCCCTGGAGGAGGTGGCCCGTGGCCCCATCCTCGTGGACACCGGGGGGCCCTGGGCTCGGGAGGCGCTGCTAGGGGCCCTAGCGAGGCAAGGGGTGTCCCCGGGAGATGTAACTTTGGTGGTGGGGACCCACGGGCACTCGGACCACATCGGGAACTTAGGTTTGTTTCCGGGCGCGGCATTGCTTGTCTCGCACGATTTCTGCCTCCCTGGGGGTCTCTACCTGCCCCACGCGCTGGATGAGGAACGGCCTTTGCAGCTGGGGCCCGGGCTCGAAGTGTGGGCCACACCGGGCCACGGGGGCCAGCGGGACGTGAGCGTGGTAGTAGCGGGCACGACTCGGGGCACCGTGGTGATAGCGGGCGATGTGTTTGAGCGCGATGGGGATGAGGATTCGTGGCAGGCGCTGAGTGAAGACCCTGTGGCCCAGGAGCGGAGCAGGAAGAGAGTCCTAGACACCGCCGACATAGTTGTGCCTGGTCACGGAGCCCCTTTTCTGGTGTTAAGGGAAGTCGCGCAGCTGGCAGCAGCCAGTGATCCGAGACAAGGACTGATTGGCCCCGAGAGGGACTGAACTCTACCTCAAGGAAGCCCTTCCTTCCAGCGAGGAGCGAGACGACGGGGACCCAATCGGCCTGAATCAGAGCAGTCAAGGGTGGTCGCTTCCAGTCCTTCCAGGAGGCCAGATTTCTACCGAGGACACAAACTTCTTGCCTCTGCAGTTGCCAGTATCACTCTCTTGCCTGTCTCTATAACCAAACGAGGGCCAAGGACTGGCTCAGCTCTTGTACATCCTCCCTGGGCCTCAGCAAAATAGGAGAAAGTTCTTATGGGAGTCCTCCAAAATAAAAGTAGAAACTGCACTGAAAATCATGTTGCTCTAATGAAAACATGAAGCACTGATAGTAATAATTGTGCAAATATGGTAACTGAGTTGCATTGGGAAGCACTGCCAGATTGCTTATTCCTCATAGGGTGCAGCTTTGCTGAAAAAAGGTACAGGGCATAGAGGTGACCCCTTAGTCATCAGACTTTAATTCATTCCCTTAGTGGGTGCTTAATATCGGCAATGTCTCAGGCATTGCCTGAGGTTATAGGATACAACAGGTTTAAACTTGACAAACTTCCTGTCCCCATATTATCTTTTGAGCAAGTAAACAGCAATAATAATAATAACAAACCAATTAATTACAGGTTGTGGTAAATAATGTTAAAAAGGAGGTTAAGGGCAGAATAGGATGCTGGAACTAGAGAGTTGGCTCTTATTTAAGGTGGTTGAGAAAGGCCTCTGTGAGGATTTAGTGTTTGATC